TTTTGTTTTGTTGGTCGGGATGAATTTTGAGAAAATATCTAGCAAAGGCAACTTTAAAACCCCATCAAAAGATTATTGTAGCCTTCCATGTTGACAATTTCACGTTCTACAAATACGTGGTATCCGGTAGTTTCTAAAAAATAAAAAAAAATTATAAAGTTTTTTTAAATAATTTATATATTAATAAAAATTTTATTATATTAGAACTTACCACATTTTAAGAGAAATGGGCTTAGGGGAAGCTTATCTTTAATTACCTCAATATCGATTGTCTAAAAAAAAAATGTTTCTTTAATAACCAATAAAAAAAATTATTAACATCTTAAGATTTAGGTTTAAGAAATGTTATATTTCTTACCTCATTCTCTACATAGAATAAATTAATATCCTCTTCAAAATGTTCAGACAATCTAACAAGAATATCCTTTTCCTTGTCATACTTTATTGTTTTAAGGATTTTTGATGACTTTTCCTTTAATTGGTCTAAAAAATGTATACTTGTCCCTGTGAGTTTTTGAAAATGCCAAAATATGGAATTAGAAGAGAACAAAATATAATTTTTTTATGATTTGATGTTTACATTGCAATTATACATACAAACATGTTTACTTACCTTTAATTTGGTAGGTATTAACACAACTCGCTATAATCACAATAAAAAACTTTGGATTCAAAATATTTTAGGAGGTTATAAACCGAAAAACGTCGCGTTCTGTTGGAATGTTACCGTTTAATAAGACACAGAAGAGACGCCACAATTTATACGGGTGGGGGTACCAAATTCCCAAATATGTTTTGAAAAATAACAATATTACGTTGTAAAATCTCTGTGATTTTAAATTCAAAAAATTAAATTTAAATTTACAGTATTGATATCTAAAAAATACAAAGTTTATTAGTAATATTACAGATTTTCTGTGCATTTACAAAAAATAGGTTAAAATACAACAAAAAAGTAAAATTTTCTAATAAGTTATGTATATTTTACAAAACTAATATTGTAATTTTAAGTGCTTTTTTATCAGTGAATACACAGCTACTGTGTATCCGATAACACACCGTGGATCACATAATTTGTGTATATGTTAATGTGGTATTGTGGCTACATTGTGAGGCGGACGTTTAACCATTGTGCATACGTGTGTGCATACCATGTGTAAACGTAGCACATTTACATCGTAGAATTGTGTAACCCTGTGTCTGCATCTAGATACATCGTCACAATGCGAACACAACGTAATTGTGATTTGGTGTGCTGTATGGGGATTGGCTCAGAAGCATGCCTGAACTAATTTAGACTCACGATTGGCGTTAGCCTTGTTGTCTCGTTCTATTACAATGCGATATCATAGTTGTCTCCTTCTCTCGTAGTAGCATACGCGAGGCAGGCACGCCTACATCCAAGAAAATAAGCAGGTGTTGTGGCAACACTGTTGCGGAATTTTAGATAAATTATACTTCACACGTTTTTCAAAATTCAAGTAATAAATGATATTATTTTCCTTATAATAAATCGATTTAATCGAAATTATATTTCTATTCTAAAATAAACATATTTTAACACTATCGCCATCATGTAGCCATCACAGTAACCAATAAAATAAATACAGATTCCTTCTTTAGGTTTGTTTTGGTTATAAAATTCTGAACTGTTTAAAGAACAAATCTGTGGTTATTTACGCAATATTTTGTTTATTCTTTTTCTATGAGTTTGTCTATTTTATGATTCTTTTGTGAATGGTTTATTCTGTGGGGTTAGTTAATTGAACTTACTTGATTTATGTGAATTTAGTCATTATGGATATTACGGTGAGAAATTGTACCGATATTGTTGACATTCACGTGGTTCTTGCTGAACAATGAAATATTAATTAGACAAAAATGAGGTTTATTTAAAATAAACGTCATTTTTACAATAAAATATACACACACCGGCAAATTTAAAGGAACGTATAAAAATTTTGGTTTTTCTAGTTGTGCTGCAAAATTAGTTTTTTGTACTGTATTGTACGGCCTAGGCTTACATTTATTAGTAAATTTTTTATATATTTTGCAAATTTTGATCAAGTTAGTCCACGTCAAAATCGAAATTAACGTCAAATATCCCTTAGTTGTTGCATTAAGTGGGAAAGGTGTTCGTTAATTTCTGATAAAAGTTAGTTGTTTTTTCACAATCAATTGCTTACTGTTACTTGGTTGTGGCTTACTATAGTCACATTGACTGTGAAAAAGTCCACAATGAGTGATTTAGCACTGACTGATATCGCTAGGGCTGCAGCAATGATCGAAAATGGTCGATCTTACAGTGATGTTGCAGGGATGTTTGGAAAATCAAAATCGACGATCCATCAAAATGTTACATGTTGGAGGCAAACTGGGGAGTATATTAGAAGACGAGGTCAAGGCAGAAAACGCTCAACCACGGCTGTAGATGATCGGTTTATAACATTACAAACACTTCGAAATAGACGCCAGACGGCAGTTCAAACAAGAAATGCACTGGAAGAGGTTCGTGGAACAAGAATAAGTGAGCGTACAGTTAGAAGAAGGTTAAAAGAAGTTGATATAAAGTCGTATAGTTCAAAAAAAGCCCCAAAACTCCAGAGACGTCATCGAGTAGCTCGACTAGCGTTTGCTCGAGAACACCAAAATTGGAACGAAGATCAGTGGGGTCGAGTTTTGTTCACGGATGAGAGCCGTTTCTGCGTAAATTCGATCGATGGCAGGAAAAGAGTGTATCGGCGTCCTGGAGAACAACATGAACAATTTAATTTTACTCCTACTGTCTCTTTCGGTGAAGGGTCAGTTATGGTGTGGGGTGGCATATGTTTAGGGGCCCGCACGGAATTGGTGGTGATTGATGGCGGTGCATTAACTGCAGATAGGTACATAAGAGATGTTCTGCAAGATAATGTAGTACCATTTGCCCCATATATCGGAGAAAATTTCCTCCTAATGCAGGACAATGCTCGCCCGCACGTGGCTCATTGTGTAACTGACTTTTTAAACCAAATGGAAATACCGACAATGAATTGGCCAGCATGCTCCCCGGACTTAAATCCTATAGAACATGTATGGGACATGCTAGGCAGACGACTTATAATAAATAATTCCTGCTGTTCAAAACAAAGAAGAGGTAAAAGATGCTTTAATTGAAATATGGAAGAATTTACCTCAAGAAATGATCGACAACCTCATCAGAAATATGGGAAGACGGATTACTGCAGTCATAGGAGCTCGTGGACGAAACACATGTTATTGAAAACAATAATCCTTATTATTTTTCCTGATCATTAAATGTTTAAAACAAATTTAAATGTGCAATCCTTTTTTTGCAAAAACGCAATTTTATGTCTTGAGTTTATGGCTTTAGGCTTCAAAAGAATATAAAGCTTTGGAAAACAAACTAAGCCATTAGTTAACATTTTTTAAGAGATTTCATTTAAATTTATTCGGAGAAAAACAAGTTATGGGTAAAAAATAGAAATTTATCTCCGTTCCTTTAAATTTGCCGGTGTGTGTATTTCATTGACAAAGTAGAGGATTCCTTCCCCACCACAGTCTAAGTTTTTTACTTAGTTTTAAGTATAGGTTGTGAACTGCGACGTCAGTTTTTTTAAGTTGGGGTTAAAAAAATTTGCACAATATTTTCAAGAAAAAATATTAAAAATATTAAAAATATTTCAAAAATAAATGTTACTTTTTTGTACAATTTTTAAAATAATTCGTATAAATATAGTATAACTTTGACTTAAAATATAAATTTTACAATATTGGACAATTTGATCGGGTGTGAAGCATCACACCACCCAAGATAACCAATGAAATGATTTCCCGCTTGAAATAAGACGCCGGCCGGTGGCTCAACTGCAATCTGCATCATCAGTTTGCAGTTTTAGTTAGTGTTGGGAAATGTATCATTGTAATGTTAGTACCACATTTATGGTGAGTAATTATTGGATACTAATTTCACGAATAGGTAGGTAGGTATTTGCAAAATTGTTCAGGGACTGGGATAAATCAATAATTATGACCTGGTGATCAAATGAGAATAAAAAGTGTTTCTATGTTCCTACTGTGCAACATTATTGATCAGCTTACTATTTACTTTAGTTTGTAATTTATGTTTTTAGTTTATATTAACTTATAAGAATTATAATTCTATCCTTACAAAATTTGTGTGTTGGTCGCTGAATACATATTTAATATATCGACATTTGTACTATTATAAGTGGAGACGCACTTCACGTAAATTATATCTCAATATTATTAAAATTAGCTGTACGAATTTTATTTTTCAGTTTGTGGATTATGTTTTGTTATGTTTATTTTATGTTGCCAGTGTCAGTTTGTATTAAGTTTAGGTATTCTATTTTCCATATTTTTTTTATCTATCCATCCCAAAAATTATTAAAAAAACAATGTTGTGTTATTGTGTGTCACCACAAAATATTTTATTAAAAAAGTCTTTAAAATACTCAGTTTACTAAAAAATCAACATTAAAATTGTTGCCAATTTCTGTTTTTTTTTCAATGACTATAAAATATTGAGATGCTTCGCTTTATAAATAGGTATTTTTGACTTCACAATGCTATTATCGTAATAAAAAAATAAATTAAATATTTTTAAAAATGCATGCATTTCTTACGGTTATCAGCATCCGATCTACCTGTTGCTAACAGGCCATGCGCGATTTTCATTGAGGAAAATTCATTTTCCAGGCGAGTTTCAGTTTGTTCGCGACTTTCCACATGTTCACCACGCCAAAAATACACACAAAAAAATTTCGCGATTTTTAGATTTTTAACAAACATTTCATTTGGGTAAAAACCATAATGTTTTTAACAATGTACAATTAAAAAGATTTATTGATGATTGTTAGATTTTATAATCACCAAATTTAGATAAAGCAAGTAAAACAAAAAAAATAATTGATTTTTTTATTACTTATACCTAGTAACTTCAGAAATGAAAATAACAACTTTACTGGTAACGATAACTTTCATAAAACAAATCATGTCAATGTCCACAACAACGTCAAAATGTAACAACGATAACAAAAGTGACAGCACTAACTTTAACAAATTTAAAAATTACTCCGCCCTCTACGATTACTTGACAGGCACCGGTGCTCACAATTTCACCGATTCAGTGACAATAGGCTTTGTGGGCGCCTACGGGCAAGCCCCAGTTGATCTGGGAGCCCTACCATTGGCCATAGAAGCTGTGAATGCTGATAAAGGTAAAGTTTTTTTGTGTGCTTTTAATTTTTTTTATTTAGCTACAAGAATTTTTTTCAGAAAAACAATAAAATTGAAGTAAAAGAATATTTGTTAATTTTAACCGAATTCATGTTAATCCAGCACTGTTAAAAATTTCTATTGTAATTTTACTAAACATGTTTAGCAATTTTTGACGCACCACAAAATAGTAATAATAAAACTCAATTTGTGAAAATTACAAAACGTTTGTTGAAATTCACTAAGCATTTATTAAAAACGGAGGATAGAACACCTACATAGATTTTTATAAAAATTATTTCTTTTAATTTTTAATAATATTTTATATTTGATTCGATTGCTTTGGATGTGTTTAATTTACTTAGTAAACTGATATTTTTACTACCTCAGATATTTGATAACATATAGGTTAACCTAGAAAGAGTAACAGTCACGGAGGATAGATTTTAGACTTTTAAAACATTGTAAAAAATAATTAATTGCGGTATTGTAATTATACTACAAAAAAAACCCTGCAATTTATTAAGTTTCTTCAAGAAACTTTCTTGACCCATTACTGTTAAGATTTAAAAAAATTAAACATTCACCTCGCCAGAGTTTTTGTTTTAAGTGCGTTCCACCAACTTCAAATACCGACAGACAGCTAGACAGATAGACCTAGTTTGGGTCTTATCAATGTCGGGCAATTTGGTGTATTGGAACACACCAAAAACGAAAGCTTATATACTGTCCACCTAAGTAAACCGAGGCGAGATGTAAGAACATCACGTGATTGCCGCAATCGGTACATACTATGTATTTTACACAACATTATAGCAAATCAAATTACAAACAACGTTTGTAAATCTGAGATGCTTTTTATTAGAAACTGTCAAACTGTTTAGTAAAATTACAATGCGTGTAGGATTTATACATATACGAGGTGTGTTCAGAAAATAACGAGAATTGTTAAATTTCGCGGGTTCGGAGGGTCTTGTTGTCATAAAATTTTCTTTATTATGTTGGTATACATGCCCCCGAAGTATGATAAAAACTTTAGCTGTTTTCATTGTTTACTTTGTCTGTGGCAGCCGCTAAGGTTAGACGTGTTTTATGAGCTCGGCGATTTTTCGTTCGTTAAAAGAAATGGATCAAAGAATTTGTATCCAATTTTGCTTAAAAAATGCAATAAATTCTGTAAAATGTTAACAAAGGCCTATAGTGAGTCTGCTATAAGTAAAACAAGAGTTTACAAGTGGTATAAGAGTTTCCAAGATGGCCGTGAAGACGTTGAAGATGACGAACGCCCCGAACGCACAAGCACATTAACAACCGATAAAAACATTGAAAAAGTGGAAGAAATGGTTATTAACCATCAGAAAAGTCGCTGATGATGTTGGTATATCGATTCCATGAAATTTTTTCGAATGTTTTGGGTATGAAACGCGTGGCTGCAAAATTTGTTCTAAAATTGTCCAATTTTGAACACAATTTTTGGCCAAAAACAATACTGTAATGAAGCCCCAGCCTCCATATTCGCCAGACATGCCTCTATCTGACTTTTTCCTATTCCCAAAAATAAAGAGAACCTTAAAGGGCCGTCGTTTTGCAAGCATAGATGACATTAAAAGCGCATCGCTGAAAGAACTAAAGGCTATCCCAAAGATCGAGTTTTAGAAGTGTTTCGAGTATTGGAAGAAGAGCTGGCACATGTGCATAATATCCAATGGGGACTATTTTGAAGGCGACAACATAGACGAACATAGATAAATAAATAAATATTTGTTTCAAAAAACGAAAATTCCCGATATTTTCTGAACACACCTCGTACACTGATTTTTAATTTTACTCATCCATTGTTTTCCAAAACAATTGTAATTTAACGAAGATATAATAATAATAATAATAATAATAATAATAATAATAATAATAATAATAATAATAATAATAATAATAATTTGTTGCTTGCTAGTAATACAACTGTATTTTACAAATGTCAAATAGGTATTTATATAGTACCATATTAGATAAATAAATAATTAGAAGTATTAAACAATTAATGCTGGGACACCCTGTATTTATAAAGCATTTTGATTTCTGGCGACCCTAGACGCAGAAAAGCTGGTGAGAAGTAAGTTAATTGGAAAAATCCAATATATTGATAGTGTTTTACTTCCGGAGACTGTACAAACAAATCAAAAGTAATTAAAGTTTATTTTAGTGCAGTAGAAAAACAAAATATGCAATATAGCTCGACACACCTTTTTACCGAAACAAATATCAAATTCCTCTGGGTTCATTTCTTTGAAATCGCAGATATCATTTCAAAACATGTGTATAGAAAAATACTTGAAGAGGAAAATATTTCCACATCGCAGTTTCAACATTTTACTACCGTGCACAATTTTAACATCAATCGGTAATTCTGAAATTACACAGGGTGTCTAGAAACACTGGATTGGTGGAAGAGGACCGACAGAATGGCCTCTTAGATCCCCAGATCTGACACTATTAGACTTTTTTTTTCAGATCTTCTTCCTGGAAGAGAACTGAAGTTCGTCACCGCAGACATTGGCTCGACTCGGTCGTCTTCGTTACCCACCCGAGCGATACGAGCGATGACGGAAATGCGCGACAACGGCATCGTCGCATTCATAGGACCGGATGCTTCGTGTCTGCCGGAAGCGTTGGTTGCAGCCGCTTGGAACTTGCCGATGATATCTTACGTAAGTTCAAGCTTGCAGTAAATGAACTATACGCTGTTATCATCGTAACAAATGTACAACTTTTGATAATCAGCTGTCAAATGCGTGTGTTACAAACGAGTGTTTTTGAGAATCAAGCCGGAAAATGTTAAAAAATATCGGAAAAAACAGTCTCTGTAAATATAAATTGTACCTATTAGATACAATAAATACACATTTTAGTAGTGATTAACGTGAAAAGTGTAAACATTTCAATTCAGTAAAAATCGTCAAACAAATAAGTCGTCTAAATTTAAACAGCATTAAGCATTATTAAAAGCGTTGATTAAGAAAGTCTCCACTCAACGGTAAAATACCATTATATTATGTATTATATATAATATTATGTTGCCATGAATTCGTAGGTATATTTTGTTGTTTAAAATGCAGTTGTCGGCGTTTTTTAGAGAACTCAAATATAAAAATGGTTGATTTTAAGGTTATGTTTGTGCAAAAATTATTTTTTACTAATTTCTTAAAAATGTCCAAACTTAAATATAAATTATATTAGGTAAAGTCATCTTTAGTTAATTTTGCACCAACAAATGTACTTACCGAATTGGATCCTTTGGCAAAACATGAAAATGCAACGATTTAGCTCTTGAATTTTATCTACAATTAAAAACACAATAAATCACCATGATCCCTTGGATAAAATACACACACTAACGTAACTATATAAGCATTTAAGCGTTGAGTTTCTTAATCAATGATTTAAGGAATAATCAATCGAAATCGAGTACTAAAAGTTTTTTAATTTTTTCCTTGCAACATAAAACACAAATAACATGCGCGATTTAGCTGTGTAATTGAACAAAATTTGTCGAGTAAGACTTCTGCCTTACTTTCTTTTGTGAAAAAACGACCTATTTATTTAAAAATGATGTATAGGTCGTATGCTTTAAATGTATTCACAATTCTTAAATTCACGCAATGCTTTTGAAGTCCACCAGATGGCGCGCGTTGCGAAAATCCGATACTTCTTTAGCATATTCACTACATTTCAGTTGTGACCTAGTTTAATACCAAATCATCCGAAAATGCAGTTTTTTTTCACCCTGTACATGAAGTTGAATTATTTAACGTTAACATTTTAATGATGTGGTTTAGAAATTTTAATTGAAAAAGGTTTGTTGATACCTATAGGTATACCAAAGCTTCGAGAAGTAATTTATATACACAGTAGTTTAGTTGTCATGGTGAATGTTTTGTTAAATCAGTTTTGACTTCTAAGAATCTTACTTTCAGGATTTCACCTGTAAATTTGTCAATAAATGTATGTGGTGGCAACAAAGCCAAACTGTATTTAGTCCACTTTATTAAAATAAAATTGCATATTTTTTGCTTACATTTACTTTACAGATATTGAAGAAAAAAAACCTAATTGAAAATAACCGAACAAAAGTTTTATTTTATTATTTTCACCATTTTGTTTTGTGGAAAGCGTAAACTAGCTTTAAGAGGAACATAATAATGAACAATACAAAGGCAAAAACCAAATTGCTATTTTTTATAAAAGATAATTAATTTGTTTTAGCGCTGTTATATATTTTTACATTTTTATGTCCTAAAGTAAAGTAGACAGTTCCGATAACACTTTATAGTTATTGGACAATTAAGAGCAGGGCCGTGTTTAAATTACAATAAAAAATATTTCTAAAAAGTGTACAGATCAGTGTGTGGTATAAATATGTTCCTCAGAGCCGGCTTAAGGCAATTGAGCGCCTTAGGCACTTAAAAATTTGGCTCCTCTAACTAGATACTATACTTACGGGGCCCGGGGCAAATTTAAAAAAAGCTTATTAGAGCCACCCCAAACTGTTAGCTTAAGGGCGCCCGAGCATTATAACCTAATTATTCCCTATGAATTAGAATACTTTTTATCATTAAAAAATAAATATAAAACATAAATAACATACAAACATAACAAATATAATGTAAATAAAAAGTGTTAGGACTTTTGTGCGTTTTTCTGCAAGATGTCATTAGTAAGTATTTAAAAAAAATTAATTCAACTTTAATTTTCTGTATTTGTATGTTAGATGTACTGCTGGTTTATTGTAATTAGTTTAATATTAAAATTTCAGAAATAGGTATACCTTAAAACAAACAGAAAAATTAACACTATCTAAATGTGGATTTAGCCAGCATTTTGTGTAACGTAATCTAACGTAACGTAATTTAATTTAAAAGCCAGGCTAAATCAACCTTAACTATCGAACACAGACTGCTATCACCAAACACGCAACACATAGAAGTGCCACTCTTGAATAAACGCGAAAACACCCAAGTCCTTCCGGCAGCAGTTTCTTCTAGTATCGCGTACCCGCTGGGGTGAGCAGCACATCACAGCGGGTACCCGATGCAAGAGGAATCCGTGTGCTTGGAGCGTACGGGGGTTTTGAAATAGTTTAAAGAGTGCTAAAGATATGTTTATACAGGGTAAAGTTTACAAATTAAATTATCTTTTAAGTTTTTGTTTGCAGTTTAACGTTAAGATTTATTATTATTTGTTAATTATAGAGTTAATAATAAAATATCTTATTCTACTTCAAAACGCAGGGCCCTCGTAATCAAGCATGGTGATATAACACCTGATTAATTTTATATGAAATACATTTATGTATTTGGCATAAAAACAGAAGTGAATTTGCGGCACGCTTTTTTGTCGGCTTTACACCTCGATATTACAAAGGAAGCTAAATTTTTATAAAATAATAAAAACAGTAAATACTGTCTGTCCACTCTAAGTTGGCGGAGCTAAGGAATTTTGTAGTTTAGATATTAAAGAATTGTCGTACTGTGTGCTTTTAAAATAGATTTTATATTATAAATAATACTAGTACATATTATATACTAGTATTATTTATAATATAAAATCTGTTTTAAAAGCACACAGTACGACAATTCATTAATATCTAAACAACAAAATTCCTTAGTTCAGCCAACTTAGAGTGGACAGACAGTAATTTTTTGTTTTTACAATTGTATATTGTTTATTTGTTTTATTTTTGGAAAAAATAAACATTTTGGTAACAATTTTTTTTTTTAAGTTGCCTGGGGACAAGGCGCCTATTTCTACGTGGCGCCTAAGGCAATTGCCTTGCCTGCCTAATGGGTAATATGGCCCTGATGTTCCTCATGGTTTAAACATTGTCACTTAATGCGTTTTAATTTTAATTCTGAAAACAAACAGTAAAATGGCCAGTGTCCAATTACTGGTTGGTAAATTTCTATTATTGGACATATGTCCAATATCATACTCTATTTGTATCCTGGACATTTACCAATTCTTGTAACATTGTCTCCTGAATCCGAAAAGACCGTCAAAAACTATAAAAGTTAAGCAATTTTTAAGATATAGTCAATTCCATATTATATGTAAAATTGATTATATTTCAAAAACTGTTCTACTTTTATAACTTTTGATGACATTTTAGGATTCAGTGAATAATATTTCATGGGAATTGACTGCTAAATGTAAGAGAATTATTAGTGGCTGCTTTTTAGCTGTGACATTTTTGACTATTTCATTTTTAGAGAGTAAATAATATAGTGATTTCTTCGTCACAGGACATCTTGCAGAATAACAGTGATTTAAATACAGTGAATGATAGAGAACATAAAAACTAATGGCAACAAAATTAATAAATTCGGAAAATACTTTTAACATACCACCCGAAAAAATATTTGAAATTTATAAATCATCCTGTTCCGGCCTAAACATTATAAATGCTTCACAAACTAGAGATACCACACTTGATATTTGCAACAAACTATTTCAGAAGTCAGACCAAGGAATTAGTAGTTACCTTCAGAATCCAGAAAAGGGATGAGGAATCCGAGAAAGAAATATATGAATTATATAATATTTACAAAAGGGAAATAAAAAAAATTACCTAAAACAGCAATTTATCTTCAAAAAATATTTAACAATTTATGTTTGTAATGTAAAGTTGTTATGTTTATATAAAAATGGTATGTCCAATAACTATGGACATGTGTCCAATTACTATATAAAATGTCCAATTACTATACTTTTTGCATGTTTTTATAAAACTAATATTAAAAATTTAAATATTCTTATTTTTAAGTAAATTAAAATCTTTAAAACAATGGCATATATAAATTTTAAACAAATAATATTTCTTAAGTGTCCAATAACTATGTGGTTTACCCTATATCTAAAGTGAATAGTTTTCAAGTTATTAATTTTTTCGTTAAAATTTGACAAATGAGCGTCAATCATAAATATCCTTTAAACTTTTTGCTATTAGGTTTGCGGATATGTGGAAGATAAGAAATATATAGATTCAATATTGGACAACTAAAAAAATATATTTTGTCAGTCGTTTATTTTTAAAACGTTTCAAAAAGCATATGGTAAGTTTTGCAAACAAACGACTTATTTTATTTACCTATATTATACGTGACGTTTGACTTAAAAGCATTTACCATGGCACTCAATACTTCAACACAAAATCTCTTCCTCATAAATTTTATCACGATTTTTGACTTAAGCCATCTAGTTCTTTTCAATTCACACTAAACTTTACGCAGTCTGCTCTAAATTTAATTAAAAGCTTTTAAAATCGATGCCTGTCAGAAGCCCATCAGTTAATAAAGTTAAAAACAAATTTTGTTAAACTTAACGACTTTTTACACCATTGTAAACAGGCCTTGGGGAGTAGTAGATTTTTTAATTAATTTGTTAAGCTTGTTTACCTTTTTAAGGATTAGTGGGTACAATAGTGGAGTCAGATAGCAGGTCGATCACACTTTTTAGTTTGTTTTAAATCTTTTTTTTGCAGAAATTTTGAATTCAGCAATGTGCATGAGTAATAGGGTATAGTTATTGAACAATTAACATTAATACTGTTAAAACAAGAGTTCTATACATAGTTACCTTAAAGTCAAATCATTAGATCACACTGAATACAATTATAAATATCTCAGTCGGTCATAATATAGAACCTTTATTTTGGGTCCAATATAGGACAAAAAAGTTCGCACGTTACTTTGGTGGTAAAATATTTCTAAAAAGTGTACAGATCAGTGTGTGGTATAAATGTGTTCCTCATGGTTTAAACATTGTCACTTTAATGCGTTTTAATTTTAATTCTGAAAAAAACAGTAAAATGGCCAGTGTCCAATTAATGGTTGGTAAAAAATGTAAATTTCTATTATTGGACATATGTCCAATATCATCCTCTATTTGTATCCCGGACATTTACCAGTCAATTCTTATGTAAAATTGTTCCCTGAATCCGAAAAGACCGTCAAAAACTATAAAAGTTAAGCAGTTTTTAAGATATAGTCAATTCCACATTATATGTAAAATTGATTATATTTCAAAAACTGTTCTACTTTTATAACTTTTGACGACATTTTCGGATTCAGCGAATAATATTTCATAGGAATTGACTGCTAAATGTACGAATTATTAGTGGCTGCTTTTTAGCTATGACAATTTTGACTAATTTATTTTTTAGAGAGTAAATAATATAGTAATTTATTCGTCACAGGACATCTTGCAGAATAACAGTGATTTAAATACAGTGCATGATAGAGAACATACAAAACTAATGGCAACAAAATTAATAAATTCGGATAATACTTCTAACATACCACCCAAAAAAATATTAGATATATACAAATCATCCTGTTCCGGCCTAAACATTATAAATGCTTCATAAACTAGAGATACCACTCTATTTGCAACAAACTATTTCAAAAGTCAGACCAAGGAATTAGTATACTAATTCCTTGGTCTGAATATACTAATTCCTTGGTCTGACTATAGTTACCTTCAGAATACAGAAAAAGGATGAGGAATTTTTTTAGAAAAAAACCCAAATTTTTCAATGAATTTGTTCCATACTCACTGTATAATTTAATCGATATTTAATTTTCAAAACATCAAACTTGACATAAATATGGTAATAGTATTATAATGTATTTCACTTTAGAAGATAAAGTGTAAATATTTTACTCAAATTTTATTTAAAATCAATATGTTTATTTATGTAAACAAATCATGGTTTTGATTTTGTATTTCTTTTATGCATGTTCGACATTAAAAATCAACCAATGAAGACTTTAAATATTGTTTTTATGCAAAATCTGAGATTTTTATAGATGTTGTAAACAAATCTTTTTATTTTTGTGTTATGATAAAATAGTATAGGTACATTGTGTTCGCAGATGGAGTACAGTTAAATCGCGCACGTTATTTGTGTTTTACGTTGCAAGGAAAAAACTAAAAAACTGGTTTAGTACTCGATTTCGATTGATTATTCCTTATATCATTGATCAAGAAACTCAACGCTTAAATGCTTATATAGTTACGTTAGTGTGTGTATTTTATCTAAGGGATCATGGTGAATTATTGTGTTTTTAATTGTAAATAAAATTCAAGAACTAAATCGTTGCATTTTCATGTTTTGCCAAAGGATCCAATTCGGTAAGTACATTTGTTGGTGCAGAATTAACTAATGATAACTTTACCTAATATAATTTATATTTAGGTTTGGACATTTTTAAGAAATTAGTAAAATAATTTTTGCACAAACATAACCTTAAAATCAACCATTTTTATATCTGAGTTCTCTAAAAAACGCCGACAACTGCATTTTAAACAACAAAATATACCTACGAATTCATGGCATCATAATATTATATATAATACATAATATAATGGTATTTAACCATTAAGTGGAGACTTTCTTAATCAACGATTTTAATAATACTAAATGCTGTTTAAATTAGACGACTTATTTTTTTGACGATTTTTACTGAATTGACTTTTCACGTTAATCACTACTAAAATGTGTATTTATTGTATCTAATAGGTACAATTTATATTTACACAGACTGTATGAAGTTTATTTCTTCATTCGGATTAACAGCTGTTTATTGGAAAACCGGTAAAAATTCAGCCCAGGATTTCCTCTCGAAATACACCCAACAACACAACAAATATTGCCGAGTGGTGGCGCTACTAGCGATACTTCTTCTTTAATATTAATATTTTTTATTATTTTTCAGAAATGCAGTGAAACCAAAGTATCGAATAAAAAAATATACTCAACCTTTGCCCGAACTCTGACCCCATCTAGCAAAGTATCAAAAAGCGTAGTGGCCCTTTTAAAAGCCTTCAAATGGGACAAATTCGTTCTGGTAACCGGAAGTACCGCGTCTTCCGGAAGTGAGGTTAAAGAAGCCATCGAGGTCGATATTCACCTAATAATTGTGTTGGTTGTTTAATAAGAATTGTAATGTATCTTTCAGGATCTTGCTACAAGAGAAGGGTTAATGGTAATCGAATCAAAACAGTATTCTGCTTTTTATATCCCTAGGTACATCGAGGAGATGTGCAATGTTGTCGGTGACACGTATCGTATAACCAGGAGTAAGTAAAAAAATCAATTAAAATTGAAATTAAATAAAATTTAAAACAATTTTATGATGACCTACATAAAAGGGAAATGTGCCAAGGTTTATCGTTGTAAAATGAGGGCTTAGGGGAGAAAATTACTCCGATTTCATTGACTGACTCAAAATAAAATAAATTTTACAGGGAAATTTTACGTAAAGTACAACAACAAACGCGATTTTATTGTTGGTTACCAATTTTCAGAAAGGCATTATAATTTATAAAGTAAATTAAATTTCTTGGAAACAAATTTGTTTCTACGAATCAAACCTGTTTTATTTTTTTTAGTTTATGTCTTCGTCGGTGAGCATATAGCCTTAATTGATTTTATTAAGTGTCTTCAACGAAGGAATCTCCTATATAGCGGAGACTACGTTGTCATATCCGTGGACGATGAAATATACGACCCAAATAGAACCATTAAGATCTTAAGTCGAGGTAATTCAATTGAAAATAAATTAACACGAAAAAAAACATTTTTTTTTTAAGATTATTTGGATCCATTCCTAAACGAATCATGGGACAAAGTGATGGGCTTTAGGTCTGTTTTGAAGCTGACTCCGTCATATCCAGGGAATCCAAAATACAAGTAACTGATTACTACTATCATATACTCTTCAAAATAATTTTGTAATTTTTAGGGAGTTCGTGGAAAAAATCAAAGCTCTCTCGATAAGAAAACCATTTTGTGTGCCGTACCATGCGACAATATTCGGCAGTATATCAGTTAATATAAAACAAAACCAAACAAATTTTTTGTTAACTTTGTGTTACCCATCCAGGTCTCTATTGGAGCTGCAAGGGTCTTCGACGCCGTTTTCATCTTGGCCAGAGCTTTAACAGAAGTTTTTCAAGTCAATGGAGATCCCAGAGATGGGATTGCGGTCATTAAGAGAATATTAAACAGACGCTACCACTCAATACAAGGTTTTGACGTAAGTATACTCGACGAAAAACTCATTTGCCACATTTGGGCCATTTGTAGGTCTTCATGGACGCCAATGGAGACGCTGAAGGGAATTTTACCGTTGTGGTTCTATTGGATGACGAGAGAGCTAACGGAACCCAATGGATGAGCATGCAGCCGGTTGGGTATTTTCAGTACAAACACAATAACAGTTCTACTTTGCCTGTAAGTATACTAATGGAAAATGGTGTGGTTTTAATACGTGCGTCATTATCTGGACCAACAATTTTTCATGTACCAGATTGAATCCTTTGGGGTTATCTTAAAAGTTTAGTCTATTTTAATGAGGAGGATCTTTTAGCTTGTACACATGATGATGATGTACACACTCTGTATAGATGAACTGCCCGATTATTTGATTATCTAAATACCATTTCGCCCACTGATGTATAAAAATCAGCTTTACAATGTTTCAAATATTTGTTGGAAGTCGAGTAGCAATTTAGCACCGATTTAAAGGAATTTAATCAGACGAACTTTTCATTAATTCGGAATTTTTAATGTCTCGACATGTTCATTGAGTTGTCAACTTCCATTAGAGCCATTTCAAGCGAGATCAATTAGCTGCATCGCATTTTAATGCTGAACGATGCTGATGGATAAAAATCAACGTAAAGGACATAACTTTTTATTTGTCACCCTGAAGCCTGTAGGATTTATTTTATTATTTTCATCCCTCGTGCTTCAATGATTAACTTTTTGTAGGAATTTAAGTATTTGAATCCAGACCGCCCGATACAATGGATTGGAGGGAAGGTACCAGCAGCAGAACCAGAATGCGGGTTTTTCGAAGAAAAATGCGTTAACCCTGTCGATTGGAAAATCATAGCGAGCATCGTTTTAATATCGATCATCGTTATGGTTGCCATCTTATTTGGAGTTAAGTAAGGTTGAGAAAAAATAGTATTTCTTATGAGTAAATTTTTTCCCAGACATTATAGATACGAGCAAAAATTGGCATGCCTTTTGTGGAAAATCGACATGAAGGATGTCACTATTATCCCCACGGAGACCACTGAGGTTAAAAATAGAAATATGGTAGGTAGATAAAGATTTTCTTACGATACGAAAAATAACAATATTGTTTTAGATCAGGGTGTGCAGACAAAGCGTTTTTCATGCCCCGACATCAAGCAGTATAGTAGAAATATCGGACCAATCCCCTAAAAGAGCTTACACAACCATAGGTCTTTATAAAGGTAACATAGTGGCCATAAAAAACCTCAACAAAAAGTCCGTTGACTTGACGAGATCGATAAGGAAGGAGCTAAAACAGGTACCTACTAAGGCTTCTTCAAAATCCTTTTAAATTTGTTTCAAACCTCTTTCCACCACTGAGAACTTAGATCACGTTGCCTTTTAGATAAGAGAGATGAGACACGAAAATTTGATACCATTCATAGGAGCGAGTGTTGACCACGGGCATGTCGCCATTTTGACAGCTTACAGTGCCAGGGGGAGTTTGGAGGACGTACTGAAGAATGAAGACCTCAACTTGGATCACATGTTTGTTTCTTCATTGGTGACGGATATCTTAAAAGTATGTTTGTATTTTAATATTCAATGCTGTATTATTTATTATAATGGTTTCAGGGAATGATCTATATACACGACAGCGACATCACCTCACACGGCAATCTACGATCAAGTAACTGCCTCATTGATAATAGATGGGTGCTACAAATTTCGGATTTTGGCCTACACGAGTTTAAACGTAACTATAACACCCTAATTGTCATCATATTGTTTTATTATTTTTTAGATTGCAACGATGAGTTGGACTTTGACAACAAAAACCTCAAACGCATGCTCTATAGAGCCCCTGAGTTGTTGAGGCAGTCCTCGCCCCCATTACGTGGTACGCAGAAAGGAGATGTGTACTCGTTTGGGATAGTCTTCTATGAAATAATAGGCAGAAATGGCCCGTGGGGAAAAACAGCCATAAATTCAAGCAGTACAAACTAAAACAAGCATAAAACAAACCATTAATCTTGAATTAGTTTTAGAAATAATCGGAGAGGTCAAGAAAGTGGACAAACTCATACCTTTCAGGCCACCCCTGGAAGATCTAGGCATACCGGAGTACATTTTGAGGTGCATGAAGTCTTGCTGGGAGGAAGATCCAGAAATAAGACCCGACATCAGGTTCGTGAGGGTTCTGCTCAAAGAAATGCAAGCCGGTCTTAAGCCCAACATTTTCGACAATATGCTAGCTATAATGGAGAAGTACGCCTACAATCTGGAGGGTCTAGTGCAGGAACGAACCAATCAACTGACAGAGGAGAAAAAGAAGACCGATGCACTTTTACATAGAATGCTACCCAAGTAAACAAATAAAACCTAACTGGACTATACTAGACTATAAACTGTTTTAGATATGTTGCTGAGTCACTGAAAAAGGGAGACAAAGTTGAGGCGGAAATATTCGACTGTGTGACGATTTACTTCAGCGATATAGTCGGTTTTACAGAGTTATCAGCCGTCAGCACACCTTTACAAGTGATTGATCTCCTTAACGATCTCTACACGTGTTTCGATTCAATCATCTCCCACTATGATGTCTATAAAGTGAATTTGTGTTCATATACTTTAAAACGGGATTTTCAAGGAAATTTTTTAGGTGGAGACCATTGGTGATGCTTACATGGTTGTCAGTGGTTTGCCGATAAGAAATGGCGACAGACATGCTGGGGAAATCGCCTCGATGGCATTACATCTGCTGAGTAAAATAAAAAAGTTCGAAATCAAACACCGCGTCGGTGAAGTGTTGCAACTGAGGATTGGGATACATTCTGGTAATTTCTTGTTTGTAAATGTAAATAATTCTTTGAGCTGTTTTTATCTCAAGGTCATTGCGTGGCTGGCGTGGTGGGTCTCAAGATGCCCAGATACTGTCTATTCGGAGACACTGTTAATACAGCATCCAGAATGGAGAGTACTGGTGAAGCATTCCGAATTCACATATCTCACGCCACTTATATGTTGTTGCAAAGACTTGGTGGTTATATTTGCGAGGAAAGAGGTCTCATTCCTATAAAAGTTAGTATTAATTGATAGCAATGGTTGGTACTTATTAATAACCTAACTCCACAGGGAAAGGGGGAGATGTATACCTATTGGCTTATAGGGGAAGATTCTGCTCAAAGAATGGCTAGAATTCGTGAAGAAATTGCTGGGTCCACTCTATTTAATAGTATTAGTTCTGAAAGTAAGTATCTAAAGAAGATTCTTTTTCGTTACGATGATTTTTTTTTATTGTAGGACTGAGTAAAACTCCCGATCTGTTACGTAGACCAGGGGTGAATCTATTGGGATCAGAACTGCATTTCCCCAGTCCGTCTCAATCCCCATTTGCCATCCAACACTTACATAACAGAGCCAGACTTGCTCTGTCACTGCACCACAGCGAGGTAACATATCAGCGTTTTCGTTACTGAATTTTGAAAGTGTTGTTTTAGGAAATTATCCCCCAAGAAAACCAACTCATGTCTCAGATGTGTTTGGGAAACTCAAGAGTTTTCAATTCGAATAATCAGAGGAACCCCAGTTCGGCTCCAATTATTTCCTTCATACAAAAAGATCAGATTTTGTAATCTTACAGTATTCTATATGGTACTGTGTTTCAATGTATTAAAAATATGGATGTTAGAAATAATCCCAAACAGCCTTGAGTCGGAGCTTCAGGGAATCCAATGGAGGTCCATAGAACGTTTCAATGTGTTGTTTGGGAATAGAACCTACATCAAAATGTATAAGAAACGAATATATATACCCGTCCCAGATATTTATCAGTGTCAATTATAATATTGAAGTAAATGTTTTCAAAAATTTATATTAAGTTTTATTTATCAATAAATAATATTTTATACAATGTAAAAAATAGGTTTAAAAAATAGTTAAAATTTCATTAAAACATATTTGAATATAAATAAAATCTATCACATATTTTTGGAGGGTTTAAAGTTATATTTACACTGCGTTGGCAATCGTGGATAGTACCCCCCATAACAGTCAAAAACCATGTTTATTTCAGTCGTACCCTTAGGTTTTATATTAGGTTTAACAAGTGCGTTTTCTAGAACCCTCAACGGGGCATATGCTATGGGGCATTTAACCGATACATCTATACGAAGCCCTAAATGTGGGACTCTATACAACATATTCTCGCTTGATGAGTTGGCAACCCTAAAAAAATCCCCATGGTTTCCATTATTAACCTGAACCACATCTACATCCTCATGCTCATCGTCCTCTTCGTCGTTATCGTTATGAACCGTTTGGAATTTTTGAGTGTACGCGCCTTAAAATTACTCTAGTAAAACCAATTTGTATCAATTTAGAATACTTACCGTTGTTCATGACTCCATAGTAAAAAAACTGATCCTCCACATCGCCATACCCAGTGTACACATTGTTGCCAGGTCTCTTAACTCTCTCAGTGGCTTCAGGTCTGAGAGCCACCTCCCTTTCATACTGGGCTTGCTGCAAATACATGTCCGAGTGCGATAGGACTATCCTCCTGAGCCTCATGTGCATCATTCTCTGTTTTTGCCTCCAGGACATCTCTTTTGTCGAGGTTATGGGTAGAGCGATGAACCACGTGTTGTTGAAGAAGAAGCAATACTAGAATGTGGTGTTTTGGTGTCATCTATTTAGGAAAATACAGGTCACCCAATGAACCCAGAGATTACCAAAGATGAAAGGGCAAGTTTCAACCTGATATGGTTCTCTGGGTGACCCTTACTCTTTAGGTACCTTAGCTGTAAAGGTCTCAGCAGTTATCTTCTCAAATATCGTGGTCTTCTGAGCAAACAGCGCACACTCCATGAGATCTAACAGTTTACAGCCACTATTTTGTATGTGGCTGTCCCTACTTTCTTCAGTGACTTTATCAAAATGGACGCAGAATAGTTTCGCATGGATTACAATTTTTGTTATTTCTACAGGTAGCATCTACAAATATCTCTTTTAGTAATGTTGCAATAATCACCCCTGTAGTGTTTATTAATAAATACATAGTCTTTGGCAATCATGGGCGAGTACAGTTGTTCTGGTGTGCTACGAAAAACCAACAGAAAGTTTTTGAAAAAATCCAGAAGAAGACCACCGTACATGCAAGTGTTCGGGGTCCTATAATAGTCGTTGTAAACGAATCTCCATATTGTGGCTGTCACTATTGAATGCTAAAAATACATATTTTATTTGGGTTTGTATATTTTCTTTCATACCTACCTGTATATTGACAAGCTCGAGCATGTTAAGCTTTTTACAAATGTGCTTAATTTCTGCATCATCTCTAGTACCTTCCAAACATTCGTAAGTTTTTTTGATTTGGTTTGTGAGATCGGTTTCGATTACCTTGAAAGCTACATTTAATTCGTTTTCGGCTATGATTTTGAACCTATGATTGACCAACCTGACCCTATTATCTATGATGCAAATTATTAGTTTTGTTTTATAAAGTTGAGAATATACATACTCAGTTCATGATATGGTAAAAAATTAAAAATATTTTGTAAAATTTCGGTAGGTAGGTGCATAATAGGGTTTTTTCTTTTGCCAGCATCATTTCTATCGATATGTTTTCTTGTTTTTGATTTAGGAGAACATTCACTCAATTTTCTTCGCTTAGATCTCAAATAATATCCATTATCACTGTCACTTTCATTGCTCGTTTCCTCCATGGTTTATTTTATAATTTTGTCATACTGCATGTGTATTTTTTTAAATTTGTGAATGACAGTTTAACAGTTTAACAGCTTTAATTTTGAAATATGACTTCCTCAACAACTGGTGCAAACAACAATGAAAACTATGTTTGATATCAGTTAATTTTATTAACATTAAATACAATAAGTAAAAACGAAACCTAATAAACCTGTAAATAGTTTATATAATCCATAGCATAGTAGAAGAAGTAGAGTATAGTGCCCGGCTTTCAAAAACTTAAACCTAAGTCTGGCTTTTTCCAAGGTTTCTATGGGGTCCTTCAAAATGTACAGTCTCCCACCCATACCGATAATCTCGAAATATTCAGGCCAAACTATTTTTTCCATCGAAAATGAAAACAATTTTCTATCAGTTTCGTTCAACTTATCCCAAAGGTTGACCACGTTATCATTGGTGAACTTCCACTCATTGAACATGAAATAACAGTAAACGCTCATGAATTTTTCAATTTTTTTGTATACACCAACCAAACTGCAAAATATTCTCACATGCAGATATATATTATAAAAATTGAACTGGTACATACAGTGGTTTCTTCCCTAGGCACAACAGAACCAAATCCACCAAATAAGCTGGTATTGTATGAAGAAAAAACGAAAACAAACGGTACTGAAACATATTCCTGGCACAAACCAGCATAGCCCACCAAGCACATAGTATTGAAGGCCAATGTCGGAAATGAACAAAGGCTAGGTCAACGTATTCACCTAAAATTATTCTATGTACCGATAACCCACAGGTATACCTATTTGAGTCTACCTGATGTCAAAGGTTTTTGTGGTGAGCTAACATAATTGCAAATGGGTATGTTATCATTCTTTCTGGCATTTCTAAAATAACAGCAAAATTAATAACAATACTTGCAGAATATTCATATGTTGGTACATGTTATTAGAAATATCCCATGCAAACGTTATGATGCAATTTATGGTCATGTCTACAGGAACTATATCCAAAAGTTTTTCTGTTTTCATGGGTAGACATCTGACCAGACCTACTGCAATTCCTATTGAGGCCGCTATGGGACCAAACATGTTATCAATCCAACCTGGGCATGGTTCATTTATAGCAGAAATAACTGAAAAATAAATAAAATAGTTTTAAATTCACTACATGCTGAATGCTGAAACTTACCTATACTTGGTCTCAAAATTCCTACCGGCAAAACTTTATGTTTCTCCACAACCAATTGCTCAGCCACCTGTTTAGTAAAGGTATAGGTATTGGGATGATCTTTCAGTATACTTAAAATAACAAAATGACTATAGTAAAGGAAGACTTATTAAACATTCTACTTACGCTGGTGTCATAGCTGATAGAGAGTCATCATCAACCAATTCCACTAAATTTATTAGTTTATCAGGACTCATGTGAGACCTGTGTGATTTCTCGTTGATTTCACTTCTATTACAGTTTGAGTAAGCTGTGGAAACATGCACAAAAGCCTGAAAAGTTCATTTTAATGTTTGTAATGATATTCGCATGACATACCTTTAAATGCTTCATTCTTTCTGCCAGATTGAGCAAATCTTTTACAGTCAAAACATTAATGATTGTGGATTTGCGAAGGTGTTCATCAAATCTAGTCGTCGCTGCGCAGTGGAACACAATGTTCACCTCGTTGATCAGTTTTTCTTCATCACTAGATGAAAAACCCATATTTGGCAAAAATAGATCACCATGGATTACAGATATTTTTTTAAAGGCATCTGGTTGTACTTTTTTTACTAGATCAAACATCTATAACATTACATTACATTTTTTCATCTTGGTCAGTTTTTGGTACTTACTGGTAGCTTCCACATATCGTGGAGTCTTTCCTTGGCGTCTTTCCCCTTTTTGGCCCTCAAAATTATGTATATTTTGTTTAGGGAGTTGCATGTTCTCAACAACTTCTCCAAAAGTACTTTACCCAAAAACCCCGTAGCTCCTGTTATAAGAATTGTTTTTTCTTCATAAAAGTTCACTAGCTCACTTTGCTCAGTTTTTAAATTCAGCATCTTCTAGTTTGAAGTTAACGTTCAAACCAAAATATAACTTCTTAATGCCAAAGTACCAGGCCAAAAACGCGTTATAAATATTAATAAAATGTCCGGTCAGAAACCTTTTTGAAAAGAATTAATTTTGAATTAATAATTTTGCATGTTTTTGAACAATTAGTTAGTTTGCATTTTTTTAATTTTAAAACGATCTTCGTATCATTGTACTGAGTGTACAAGGTGAAAACTTTTTTTTTAATTCCAAAAACTCGTAAGCTATTAAATTAACATACGAGGTGTGTTCAGGAAAATAACGAGAATTGTTAAATTTCGCGGGTTCGGAGGGTCCGGTTGTCATAAAATTTTCTTTATTATATTGGTATACATGCCCCCGAAGTATGATAAAAACTTTAGCTGTTTTTATTGTTTACTTTGTCTGTGGCAGCCTCTAAGGTTAGACGTGTTTTATGGGCTCGGCGATTTTCGATCGTTAAAAGAAATGGATCAAAGAATTTGTATCCAATTTTGCTTAAAAAATTAAATAAATTCTGTAAAATGTTAACAAAGGCCTATAGTGAGTCTGCTGTAAGTAAAACAAGAGTTTACAAGTGGTATAAGAGTTTCCAAGATGGCCGTGAAGACGTTGAAGATGACGAACGCCCCGAACGCACAAGCACATTAACAACCGATAAAAACATGGAAAAAGTGGAAGAAATGGTTATAAATCATCAGAGAAGTCGCTGATGATGTTGGTATATCGATTGGCTCATCCCATGAAATTTTTTCGAATGTTTTGGGTATGAAACGCGTGGCAGCAAAATTTGTTCCAAAATTGTTAAATTTTGAACAAAATTTTTGGGCAAAAACAATACTGTAATGATACCCCAGCCTCCATATTCGCCAGACATGCCTCTGTCTGACTTTTTCCTATTCCCAAAAATAAAGAGAACCTTAAAGGGCCGTCGTTTTGCAAGCATAGATGACATTAAAAACGCATCGCTGAAAGAACTAAAGGCTATCCCAAAGATCGAGTTTTAGAAGTGTTTCGAGTATTGGAAGAAGAGCTGGGACATGTGGACTATTTTGAAGGCGGCAACATTAATGTAGACGAATAAATAAATATTTGTTTCAAAAAACGAAAATTCCCGATATTTTTTGAACACACCTCGTATATGTATATAGCTCCATCTTTCTTTGAACTCTTAAACAAAATAAGGATGAAATCTGTAAAATAACAAAAGATAAAGTAGGGTAGAGACAAAGACAAAGGGTTAAATATGTATTATTTAAAGGACAACATAAACAAAAAATTTGAAAAGCTAAAACTAAGGGTATAGGAGTAATGTATGTATCCAAGTGAATAATTGATCAAGCTAGCTGTGAAACAGGAATGTTTTAATAGGGGTGTATTCACGAAGTTACCCGAACTAAAGCGAAGGGTGAAAAAAAATATTATATCCCCAATAACACCCCATTTCGGACAAATATATTATTTTTATTTTTGTAAATAATAATTTTATAACAAAACAAACGTTTGTAAGCCTAAATAAATTATAAATATGTCGGCTAGGAAGCGGAAGTATAGTTTCCGAAAAAAACCGATCGTCTTTTGTTCATGCACCACAATCAACCCTTAGTAGTCAGCTGTTAAGGGTTGGATATGTAGTGTCAACTGGTTTGTGGAATTTCAATGAATAAAACCTAATAAATATAATGCTTTGTGACTATAATTATAGAAAAATAGTCATTCTATAAGGTAAACTTTCATATACTACCATATTTTGTATCTTTGAATATAATTTTATTGATAAATTAGTGTATATATTTTTGTAATTTTTTAATTCATATTATTTTATTATACTTGTATACACAACCTGTCAACATATTAACTTCAGCTAGCTGCAGATGCCTTGTTATCTTGTCATCATATATTTCGGCTTGAAAAGTACACAGTTTTTTCAACTTTTAACTACTTAAAATAAGCTTAAATTGTATTTAAATAAATATTGATTTTTTATTAAAATTTATCGACTTTACGTAAACAAAATTACCCGCCAATTATGCACATGCTTTTAAAATAATCGTTTTAACAGGCGAAATCGATTGATTTGGTTGGAAATTTCCTAAAAAGGGTAAAACAAAATATTTAGTAGGAAAACAAATTAGTGGATTAATATTTGATGAATAAATAAAATTAAAACAATTTTAGTAACCCGATTCATTTCAACATGTTAACACACAAAAACTGGAATTAAAATAAAAGCGTTGTGCAAAGTTTAAACCATATTTTATAGATTTTTTTCATTGGTTTGGTATGCTGTGTAAAAGTCATCTACACGTCAAATTTTAATAATTAGCAATATAAACGATCATAAACAAATAAAAGTTGCCATGAGGTAAGATTTTTTACTGATACTTAATTTTTTGAAATAAAATATAAACCGGAAAAAATATTTCAATAAAAATTATATTCTTTCTTTTAATTTCGTATACATAAGCATCCTAATAAACAATTAGTACTACTTATGGTAACGATAAATTATATAAAGGTTATATTAGAGTTGTCAAGTGATATAAGAGTTTAACAAGGTTTTATAAAATCGCCATTTAGTTTACCAGTTTTATAATGGTCAAATAAGGGTACTGTAAACTCTAGGTATTTAATAAGGTTATATAAACGTTTCTACAAACATTATATAACCTTTATTAACCTTTACCAGTGGGTTTCTAAAAGAGTTTTATAAAATTTGCGGTTACCTGTTTTATAAAACTATTGTCAATATTTTTTTAAATTAAAATCGTGAGTTATGGGCTTAATAAACCAAAAATTTTTAGTAATTGAAACAGAAATTAAGCAGAGTAATTTTAATTAAAAATTGGTTGAAAAGAAAATAGCAGTTGTTTAGAAAGTTATATAGTGGTTTCCATAATATTTCTGTTATCTCTAGTTAGAAAACTTGGGTTTTATAGTGTTACTAAAATAGGTACCGATAGCATTCATAAACTCCCCAAATAAGCTCTTTAGTTTTCAATACACATCTAATGAATAAATCTGTATATACACTCACAGGCAAAATAATCGATCCACACAAATTTTCGATGAATTTCAATCGCAAATAACTTTTTTATTTGATTTCGGATTTAAACAAATATTAAAGAATATTGTAGATACATTAATGAAGAATCGCTCACATTTTAAAAATTACTAAAAAATACACGTACGTTTATAATATGTCGGTTTAAACAAAAAGATGTTTTTTACCATAAGTTTAAGATACTCTGTAGAGTGGCTAAACCGTATATTGTTCTAAATTAAGTTTTAATTATCAAGTCACATCTATTTTTAACAGTTTTGTTTTTGGTTTACCTTGATATATTTATTTTTTTGGAAAATATGGATTTTTTTAAAAAAACATTGCAATTTGCAATATTTTCCTGTATGAAGAACTAATTGCTATGGAGAATCTCAGTGACAGTTTTGTTGAATCATCCCATATTGGACATGTCATATACAGCTTTCAAAAGGTATCAAATTGTTTTTTGTAAAATAATGTGTTAATTTTGAGGTGTCTTCTTACTTTTAAAAATGTCTCCGACTGATGTTGCCCTTTGTACTTTACTTCTTGTGACGTTTAAAACACTTGCCACGTAATACTGTGACCGTCCATCCTGGATTAAATTAATGGCTCTGGCAACATCAGTCGGAGACATATCCATTTTTTAAAGTAAGAAGACACCTCAAAATTTAAACATTAATTTGCAAAAAACGATTTGATAGCATTTAAAAGCCGTGTATGACATGTCCAAGTATGGGATAATTCAATAAAACTGTCACTGTCATTCTCCATAGCCTATGGATGGGCCATAGCAACCTTAGTTCTTCAGACAGAAAAATATTGGAAATTGCAATGTTTTTTTAAAAAATCCATATTTTTCACAAAAATAAATATATCGAGGTGAACCAAAAACAAAACTGTTAAGAATAGATGTGAATTGATAAATAAAACTTAATTTAGAACAATATACGATTTTGCCACTCTACAGAGTGTCTTAAACTTATGGTAAAAAACATATTTTCGTTTAAACCTGTATATTATAAACGTACGTCTATTTTTTAGTAATTTTTTAAAATGTGAGCGATTTTCCATTAATTTATCTACAATATTCTTTAATATTCGTTTAAATCCGACATGAAATAAAAAAGTTATTTGCGATTGAAATTCATCGAAAATTTGTGTGGATCGATTATTTTGCCTGTGAGTGTATATGCCGTTTGGGATTTTCCGATTCAAAAAACAATTTTACATTGTTTACTGTTTGTAATGTATATAATATGTATTATATTCTGAATTTTGTTAAACACATTGGATAATATTGTTATCTTATCGTTGGTAACCACAGACTGCGGCAATTTAAAAAAAACAAAATTTATGAATGTGTTCAACTGGTGGGTGTAAAAAGTATCCAGTGAATATTCATACAAACAAAAATCATTTTTATGTTCCAGGCGTGGCACCATGGGGTCTACTAGCGGGGGTGTTAAAAAGTACATTTCTTTCCGAAGCAGACAAAGAGCTAACATGAGCTTTTTCATCGTGGTCATGTTTTTCGCGGTGTTCGGAATCATAGTCTTCACGGAAATTTTTTTGATTGACGAAAGGGGCCGAGGGGCCGGGGTCCTGGTACGTCATGGGTCCCTGACCTATCACAGCAAACATCAGGACAAAGCCGACTACGAAGATTTTCAAGTAAGACACACTCACCTGTAGCTACTTAACTTAACATTGTCTACGACCTTCAAACAAACAAAAATCCTCACATCCTCACATAAATGCTAGGTTAAGTGCATTTTTTATGAAAATTGTAACATAAAGGAGTAACCACAATTAATACTTTTATTTAACGCTTATTCGTAACACCCATACAACTAATAATGCCATAATAAGTGAGTTAACTTGAAAGGTCCACATCCTCCATCGGGTCCAAGTTTCCAGCCCATGTAAAGTACCAAGGGCATGTATCCTATATGGAAAGTCCTCTTGCATATGTCTAAAATCAATTCCAGACGCTTTTTAGCATCATTAGATAGGTCCATGGCTTTAAAAACGTTTTACTGAATCTACTATCGATTTTGACTTATGAAAATAAACAAACCTGTTACCATGACATACTGTGGCATAACAAAACTGAAACACCATAGACTTGAACATATAGAGAGATGTAAAATTACATTTATTTTTTTAGAATGACGACTACATATCACTCCGTATAGGCGCAGCGATGATAAACGATGATGCGTTCCAGTCAATCTTACTGGGGGGGAAATCCCCAGTGGCAGTACCCGTGGTGGATAATTCCGCGCAAATGTCTTCCAAACTTATAACCGAAAGTCAATTGCCCCCGCATCCGGACAACTTGCCGGCCAGCGACGGTAAATGGCAAAAAGTACACGGTACTAGGTACGAAGATGAACGTTATTTTCATGAAAACTAATAATACCCAAAAATGCATTTTTAGGTATAAGTTTTTTGCTTTTTCTGCCTTTTTCGACCATAGAAAAGGTCAAAAATCGGTACGAGTTATTGGTGCTACAAAAACCAGGGGACCTGAACGGGTTTGGTGTCGCATGTGGTATAAGGTTGTGGAAAATAATACAATCACATATGCTCCTAGAACTGTTTCTGGAAAAGTTAAGGTAATATTTGCTTAATATAAATAACATTCCTCTTTGGGAAGGTAAAACACTTCTAATAGACCATACATGTTATCTATGTTATCTACTTTCTATACTTGGAAAAAGCTTCTACTGATTTTCCAAAAATAGATGACATAGACAAAATTTAAACTCCATCCTGATAATTTTACCTTATAAACAAAAAAAATAGTAAATAAAAATATTTTAAATTTCTCCAACATTTACTATACTAACTACAAGATCAGTACCAAATCAGCACTCTTACGGTCGAGACGTAATAGTTTCACCGCTATGAACTATAAACAATTATGCAGTGCATAGTCGGTGCATTTAAAACCTAATCTAAAAGTTTAAAAGCGCGAAGTAAATTGCCACCCCACCTGTCGAAGTCACGGAACCACCCACCTGAACAGGCGGCATGAACAAGACCAGCAAGGATGTCCAAGTAACGCACTAATAACCCATGCCTCATTCATGAACCCCAATTGAATGGGGTCATTACTAATACCCTGGTTGAGGAGGAGTCCGGATTGTACTTAGTTTTGGGTCAGTTCAAGGCTCCCAAAAACCAACTGTTGTCCCTCCTGCCGGGGTCAAAATTCGGATCCACCAAACACAGGTAACGCTGTGCAATGGCGGGATACGTATAGAAACGAAAGGGGGTAAAATAACCCTAGAAGATCAGTGTAAGGCTTAGTCGATGGGGCCTGCCATACGTTCTTATACTCATACTCATTTACTATACTAACTACAAGATTTTTTTATTTTCAGGTGATTCGTGAAAATTGGAATTTGCTGTATAGTGCGTGTTTTGTTATGTGTCCTTTGACTTTTAATCAAAGTGCTCCATATAGTGTTTCCATAGTTTTTAAGGTCAAAGATCCCCCCTCGAATTTGTTGAAAGTTATAGACAATTTTAATGAGACTCTGCAAAGAGCTAACAGTAATTTTGCTGTTTGTGTGAAACCTTTGCATTTTGACTACAACAGGGTGAGTTTAAATATAATAAATTGTACTAAAGTACTAAAAACCGAATATTTTAGGAAATGCAGCTACTGGAATTCATAGAGCTGAACCGACTGATGGGGGTGGAACACTTTACTTTCTACAACCACACCTTGGGACCTCAAGTGGACTGTATTCTTAGAGACTACGTCAAAAGAGGAATTGTTACGCTTCTACCCTGGCAATTGGACATGATTTCCCAAAAGGAAATTCGTACGGAGGGGCTATTCGCCGCGTTAAACGATTGCCTGTACAGAAGCATGTACAAATTTTCGCACGTTTTGTTCATCGATCTGGACGAATACATTGTGCCCAATTACAACAACACCCTACCAGAACTCATAGAGTAAATACTTCTTGGAGGTGTTTTGTGGTTGTTTGTATTTTTTCTATTCTAGGTATCTGAACCATCGTCTTAATACGCGTTCTACGGGCTCGTACTCCTTTCAAAACTCCTTCTTCTACCTGCAATGGGCGGATGACGATGCGGTCTACGATTTCGACGATCCCATCGCGTCAAGTCTTGTAACTCTGAAGAAGACCAGAAGAAAAACGAAGCTCCATCCTCACAAGCAACGATCTAAGTACATATGTCGACCGGAGTTGGTGGTCGAGACTGGTAACCACTTCATCTGGGAGTTCATACCGGGGCATGGTACTTTAAACGTACCATCGGACGCGGCGTTTCTGCATCACTACAGGATCTGCGAGTTTGGGGGGAACGACTGCGTTAAAACAGCTTCGGCAGTGGACAAAACCACTTACAGGTAAACACATATGGGTGAATATATTGAGATGTCCCCCAATTGAAAATGATTATTTTTTATTTTTGGTTGTTTCACTGTTACTCTAGAATGGGGTTTTTGGGAAGCCACCAGATCCAGTAATAACATAACATAAGCGGTTCTGCACTAATGCAAGAACTTTAAGAAATCACACATTTTGAATATTAGAGCTTCACGGAAGATAACTTCACGGAGGATAGGTTTTAGACTTTTAAAACATTGTAAAAAATAATTAATTGCGGTTAAAAATCTGGAACCTGAGCTGTCATATCCACTTAATTATGAAAGATCAAAACACAATAAAAGTGTAGGTGAAACTCATTTAGTTTTATTAAATATCACGGGGTAACACCATCGGGGGACATTTCGTGAGATTCACCCATATTAGAAATATTCCCAACACATCGTTGGCGAAAAGTATTTCTAAAATTTGTTTAACATATTACCAAAGTTGTCCTTTTTCAAGTATCTTCTGTTTTTTTTAAAGGGATGTATTTTTTTACCTCCAGGTACAAGGACAGGATGGTTTCCATGGTAAAGCAACAGTTTAACCACATGAAAAGTCAGTGTCACTTGAGGGATCTTGATGACCAGCCTTCCAGATCAGGCTTATTCATGAGCATGCTAAAAATAAAATCATAGTTTATTTGTTAATTTATTATCAACGAATTTTGAATTTTAATCATCTGTCAGAATTATTGAAGTTCCTATTACTGTTAAGTCAAAAACATTTTTATTTTATCTTTCCATCCAGTATCATTTGGACCATGAAGCAAAATCCTTTCTTCAACATTTATATTTGAAAATAAATTGTAAATAAATTTGCTTTCCACTAATTTAAAACAATCAATTCATATTTTTATATTGTCAACTTTATTTATTACAATATTTAACAACATATATTCACTAAAAGTTGCTACCCTAAATATAAGCTTTTTGAACCTATTATATAATTCGCAATTACTTCTGTAAATAATACATATTTTTTCCATTTATTCACACAACAAGGTCTGTTCTAAGTATCTCGTTTTCGGGTTTGTACTGTTTATACAAATTAATAATCGTTGCTTCTTACAGAGACACTTGTAAGCCTTAAAGGATTTGTAAGGCTTACAAGTGCCTCTGTAAGAAACCCAACGTTTAAAACGATTTTTAATCTGCACAAATAGCACAAGAATTGCAAACAACATAAAAATGGCCGCCATTGGAGTCTGTGCAATGGTTGCCTAACTAACGAACCTTGTTGTGTGGATTGTGGTATTAACCATGTTTGTTGACTTTTATAGTCCTAGGAAGTCCACATTAATGTAGTTAATCAGTACCTATGCAAAATGTATTTTTACATAACATATAAAATAATCACACAATATTTATATCTATTAACCACTAAACACTTTTATTTTTCTGTGCAAAAATTTGGGGCCACTTTTTTAGTGCCAATATTTGTTTATACACATTAGGGTGTCCGTTATTTTCCGAGTTATTTTTTTTAAGTGTAAAATTTCAAGCGAAAATATGTTGTTGTATGTCTATTAATTAGCGAGAATATTTTCTTATGTCATTAAAATGTAATCTATGCAGAAAAAGACATAAAAAATAAACTGGTAGTAAAATAATAGACACCTTAATACACAAATATGTCTATTTGTTAATAACTGGTGCTTCATCTGTTTATTTAAGGTGACCAATCTGAAACAATTATTGATTTAGGTATGTGATATTTTACTGATGATTTTTTTTGTATGTATGAACAAATTGTAAATAAATTGTTATAAAAATGTTGTTTTGGTATTTAATTTATTTAGTTACAGCCTATGTCACAAAAAAATCATTTTGGTTTGAGTTTGTGGTTTGTTTATGTCCCCCGATGGTCTTTTAAAAGTCTAAAACCTATCCTCCGTGACTCTTACTCTTTCTAGGTCCAAAGGACTTCTGTCGGAGCAGGGGTGGGACAATAACGTCCCAATACCCTATAAAGGGTTAACCTAGGTATATGTTTTCAAATATCTGAGGTAGTAAAAGCATACTAAAAATATCACTTCACTAAGTAAATTAAATAAAATATTATTAAAAATTAAAAGAAATAATTTTGATAACCATTTATGTAGGTGTTACAAAAATTGATTCTATCCTCCGTGAATCCGTTTTTTCTTTAAATTTTAGGCAACGCGTGGCGCTTTAATCATTTTAAATAAGCAAAAACCTCTGTTTACGACATTATACGAGGTGTGTTCAGAAAATATCAGGAATTTTAGTTTTTTTAAACAAATATTTATTTATTCGTCTACATTAATGTTGTCGCCTTCAAAATAGTCCCCATTGGATATTATGCACATGTGCCAGCCCAAGCAGCATTTTTGGTTCCAAAAACCATTGCCAAAGTGGTGATAACTTTAAATTAGTTAAGTATACTAAACAGCTACTTTAATTTTTACTTAAAAGTAATTCTAACTTTTAAATAGCAATATTTTGTAACAGAAACTTAATTTTTCCTTAAATTGTTACTATAAAGTAATAAACATTTAAGTAAAACTTGGTTGCCCCCAAGAAGACTTTGCAACTTTAAAAAAGATGTTATAAGTAAAAAAAACTTTCAAGTAAATTTAATTTGTAGCAGTTACTTTCGGTTGCTACCTAAAGATTACATTATAATTATTTTTACTTTGTAGTCCCTTTGCAAGTTAAAATCTCGAAACTGGAACATGAGTTAAAAACTACAAAGTTAATAACTTAAAAGTTATTATTTTAGTATTTGGAACGTTTATGGTACTAACCAAAACAACCGTAAAGTGGCAAAAAACTTTAAAGTAGCGAAAACTACTTCAAAGGAAAATGCTTCTTATCGGCCATTTTTTACTGTACAGTACCACGTGGTAATGTAAATAATAAATTATTTTAATTGTTTGTAAATAGTTTTTTACTTTTTAATAAATAGAAATATTGTTGGTAATAGACGGTATTAATAATTAAATAAAAAAAATAATAATAAATATTAAGATTTTTTTATTTATAAACATTACTAAATAAATAATTTGTTTATACTTAAATATTGATAAAGCGCATTTATTTTACAAAAACTAAATTCATAAGTTCAACAGTAAAATTTAAAGGGTTTATAAATCTACCTGTCTAATTAAACATTATATTGTTATTCTGGAAGTTATAAACTACCAGTACATATTTAATAAACGACGACATTGAAAAGCCAAGTCCGTAGTGGTTCCATTTAAAAAAGGAGGGATAGTATAATCTAATATAAGTTTGACAAAGAAAGTTAATATAGAAGTAAAAACAAATAATAAAAGTAATTATAACGCTCTAGCAACGATATTGGAACGTTCTAGTAACGTAGCAGCTACGTCCCAAATAGTAGCAGGGTTGGTAGCTAGTGACATATTTGCTACCTTTTTGGAACTCAATAATTGTTCCCCACTTTAGTCGTAACGTAGTAATGAAAGAGTAATATAAAGAGACCGGCGACTGTCGCAAAACACTTTGAAGTTTCTTCAATAGTCCCATATACGTAACAAATACTTAAATTGTTGCTTGGGAGCTCTTCTTCCAATACTCGAAACACTTCTAAAACTTGATCTTTGGGATAGCCTTTAGTTCTTTCAGCGATGCGCTTTTAATGTCATCTGTGCTTGCAAAACGACGGCCCTTTAAGGTTCTCTTTATTTTTGGGAATAGGAAAAAGTCAGACAAAGGCATGTCTGGCGAATATGGAGGCTGGGGCATCATTACAGTATTGTTGATGTATGATTTCTTAAACAACCAAAAATAAAAAATATATTCACCAAAATATTTTTTATTGTGAAATTGTCAGGATTGTTTGAATAGGAGAACTAACTAAACAAAGTGTTATGTAATACATTTAACCTTATTAAACCACATACAGGGCGATACGAGACCTTCGGTCATACGTGAAATTTCCAAGCCAATGAAACGAATCAAAATGGAGGTAATGACCTGGCGTGGGAGTTTGATGATAATTGGATGTGGAAATTGGGCGATGAGAAAAAACCGACATACACACGGTGTTTGCATCAATTTGCGCATGCGCCTTTTCTCACATTTCAGCACCCCTTTGCAGCCCGGCTGCTGAAAGCCTGAAATTTAGTCCATGTCAACCACTCGTTGATTACGTTCGTTTTTTTTCTCCCGCTTAAGATTTAATATTTTATTGATAAACAAACGACGTGTTTTAAATGTCTTTTCTGTTATAATTACATATGATGTGTTTTAATATATTAATATATTATATATAAGACATGATATGTGAGTTATGTGATTTAGTTTATTTTATTTAGTAAGATTTATTCCAGATTTTATATAAGGTAAATTTTTTTTTTTATTGTCCATGTTGTAGGTTCATTTAAAATGCACAAGTTAACAAATTATATGCAAAAATATTGTTAATCATTAATGAATGATTTCTATCATCAACAAGTTGAAATTGCGCATGCGTTTTAACCTTTCATTAATTGGAATATGTTAAAAAAATAAAAAAAAATCTCAAAATTTAATCCACCCATTAATACATTTTTCATTAAATTCTTGATTGATGTCACCATAACATAACGCGCTTGACTATGAGCTACAGGTGACATGTTGCTTCATTTGAAAGGTTTCTTTGTAGAAAATTTACTAAAATTGCCCAATTAATATGATAGTTATGAACTAAATATTGCATTTTTAATCTAGTTATAATTAAATTTTAAAATATTCCTATAGGAATAAGAGAAAAAATTCACTAATTTATTTGCAAAGTAAGCTGTGAATTTGAATTTTTGTCACGTATATTGGCTTTCCTAGTTTTGCTTAAATGTTTGACTAGGTATACAGGGTACAAATGGTAAATTACAATTTCCAACACTCAAAAATTTGTTTAATAAATATAACAAATCTTCCAAATCGTCCAACAATTGATTTTGTTACGGCAAAAAGATCATTTTTATAAAAATTATTTATCTACAAACGCTGCTTTCAGTAATAGCTTTTGCATGAATTATAAATCTTTCAGATGCAGAAAGGAATTGATAAAAATAGTTATTATTATTTGTCCAAAAAAACACTTCTATACAGTTTACAAAAACGTTTTGTAGTATTAATGAAACCCTTATGGTATTATTCATGTTGTAAATTTTACAAATCGTTTAAAATAACCTTCTTTATAATGTTAATTCAATAAACTATTTTCATTGTAACAATGGTCACATTTTCAACCTAATGTTGGGTGTTAAGGCATTAAGTATGAGTACGCATTTGTTGTTGACAGATTTATTGTCCTACGCAGTGTGCCTTTCTTAGGGTTTTAAAGATATCTGTCGTGTTTAATTTGCAGATTATGTGTTAGGTCATGCATATGCTTAAAGTTACTTATCAATTTTTTGCGGATACCCACCTCCCCTCTTGTTTGACCTCCTTTGTTTGTCCAGTGAAAAACGTCCAATGACAGGTGGCACTTAACTCATTCATCACTTAACACTCCTCATTGACCGTGGCTTCATTTTAGTTTGCACTCTATGAAAATTGTTTGTTTCACTATAATTGGTTTGCACATTTTAAAAATTTAAACTTTTACGTTTTAAGAGCTCTCGCTCTCGCGTGGTGCCTTCTCAAGTGCTGGAACCATTAAACTAAATTATTTATTATAACAAAAAAATTAACTCATATTATATGATGTACAATATAAAAAAAATATAAACTCACTTTTTAAACAACAAGTCTGCTTTACAAAGCTTTGAAGCTTAAAATTGGAATAGACTTTCAACGTAAAAACCTGTAGGGGTTTAGTCTTTAGATCCTTTACTATCGTGGAACTCGTCATCCTTTAAAATGTACATATTATGGATATGTCGCAAAAATGCCGTAAAAAGGTCATTTTTAGTACCTATAAAAATTGTTATTAGCTCATTTAACTTTAAACTTTGAAATACTCAGTTAGTATGCATTTTACGAAAAAATGTTTAAAATAAAAATTAAATGATTCAAGGGGGGAAATCAATCAGTACTAAAATTGGTCCCCATACTCTCCTCCTTATAGGGGGAACAGGGGGAAACTTTAAAATTTCCAATGGAACACCCTATTTTTTATTGCAGATTCGGATCATTCGACTTAAAATAGGCGGATTTTGTCTAAAACATTTTTTCATATTTGTAATAGATGGCGCTATAATGAAAAAAAATCAATTTTGTTCGATTTTTCTTCTTATACGATTCTGCAATAATTTTTCTATAAAAATATCACATTTTTTTGGTAATAACTGTCTTTTTATAATAAATCTGATTTTTTTAAGTACCCACGATTTTTTAACTAATATTTAAGTTTTCTTTGGTTTAATTTATGCATTAGGTATTTCATTCGGTGATAATTATCAATTGCGCACCATGGTCACTTTTTACCTGCCAGCATTAAATCCTTTAATTTAAAGGATTATTGTTCTATTTTTAATAAAAATACCTCATTTAAGGTAAAAAACATTATTTTGTCAATAAATTAATTTAATCCTAATTGAGGTATAAAAAATGGTATTTTATAAAAAATGGTATTTAGTATAATTATTATTGAGGTATAAAGACTATTTACATATAGTTTAGCATTATTTAATCAATTTAGTTCGAAGATTAATTTTTAAACAAAAAGACCTCCTTTCGTTAAGCAGTTATTCATAATGGATTTTTTAACAGTGAAAGAAAAAATAGAAATGATTTTTATTTATGAAGAAGCAGGCAGGAATCTTGATGATGCTG